AGGCCCTAGAAGCTATGAAGTTAAAAATAAAAGTCAAATCCTTCATTTGATCAGAAAGTGTTTCAGTCAATGATTTTCTCATTTCATCCAAGCAATCTAAGACAGAATAACATTATATTCTAACAAACCATATAGTAACTCCGTTAGATTAGTTGCACCCTTTTCCAGACTAAGCCAAGCCTATTCCAGCAAGACTTCAACCAACAGATAGATGAATGCAACATGGTTAATTGCATGCAATAATGACATTATCATGCAACCTTCATCAGATTGCGTCTGGCCATTGAGGCTGGAACAACACATTAATTTTCAGAGCCAAATTTGCAGCTAATGTTAATTACATCTGTTGCAGGCACTGTGTAAGTGACGGGTCAAGGTTTATTTTAACCCCTAAAACCAGTGTCATTTCATAGTGTTTTAGGGGTAAATGCATAAGCTTGTCCAACTTAATAGTCTGATCCCTTTTGTTCGTGCCTCTTAATTTTTTTAAAATTAAAGATAAAATTAAAAAAATATATGAGAGATGGTGAAATAGACGATTGTGAGTAGTTATTAGTATAATAAATCATTTTTTTAATATTTAAAGGATATAATAATTTACTAAAAAGTGAAGATGAAAAATAATTACAATTCTAATATTCTCTATATAATATATATAAATAAATGTAATAGATAGAGATGATACGTCAAAGTTCTCAACTTGCACATTTATTTTCTAATTCATTTAAGCTTGGTAAGGTAATAGTTGTCCATCTTATTAAATATTATTTATTTTACGCACTTAGTAAATAATAAATACATAATCGTTTGATATATAATTTACATCATTGAATGTTAAAAAAAATATTACTTTTTTTCATATTTTATAGTTTAATTATAATGAATATATAAAATTAATGTTATTAACTAATTCTTTTAAGCATTTATTTATTTTTAAATATCAAGCATGTTAATTTACATAAAAAAATAAACTTATTAATTTATTAAAATATCAATTTATTTATTATATAAAGATCTTATTGTAAAATATTTTTTTAATGTATTATAATCATAAATTTCAAATTAAACCTTAAAAATATGGTGATATTATTTAAATAAGCTAGATTCAAATTTTATAAAACCTGAAATATTTATTTCCACTTTATTTGAGTGTTAAGTTTTTACAACGTAACCTCTTAAACAAACTTATAATTTAGATTAAACTTTTATGTGGGTCAAACTCTATCTTTAAAAAAGTCTGATAACAAGTAAATAGATGATACTCAAATTGTATAATTTAACCAAGTCCAAATTTTGACTTGGCAAAAGTCTAGTATAACATTTTAGTTGATTTTTAAATAATAAGTTTTTAAAATTACAAAAATACCAAACCATATTACAAAATGTTAGTTTGGTTTGATTAGATTTCATAATACATTTAAATCAAATTACATTTAATTTTCTTATTTGATTCAAATTATTTTTAAGTAAAAAAATTGAACCCATGAACAACAGCCTTACTATTTACTCTCTTTTTTAACTGTATGAATTGAGTTTTTTTTTCCTTGTTAGTGGGTTAAAACCTTAAAATTAACTCAATAACATTACAATTATCAACATTTCTATTGTTGAGTTTCTACTTCCTATTATTAGCACGTTATGAATTTTGGTATCTTTATTTCTTTCTCGTGTAAAGTATGCTGAGAGACTAATACGTTCCTTGTCATAATGTCATCTTAGAATAAAATATTATTTACATGTTAGATTTTAAAAATAAAAAAAGACATTTTTACATAATTTAGTAATAACCATTTTTATTTATTTCACATAATATGAAAGATTGACATAGGTTATCACTAAATTAAAAAAGAGGATAGAAAGTTGACACATAATTAAAATTAGCTATTAGAAATTAACTTTCTATCTTTGAATGCTTTAGTAAATATGCAAATAAACTTTAAGTTCTTGAACGACATATGTTATATAAAATGTGAACTACTGAAGTAAATTATTTTATTAAGAGTAGTAGAAACTAAAAAATATAAATACTAATGAGAAAAACCAAAGAAAGAGAAGTAAAAAAAATAAAAATAAAAATAATGATGTATGATAATATACTATTTCACTATAATTTATGAGAATATATAATATTGATTGACATGCTTCAGAAAGGCATATTTTAGCTTTTTCTTTAGACCAAAGAAAAATAATCTTATTAAATGACATCAATACATGGTACAAGTGATACCAATTTGCGTATTACGAAAAGTAAGAGATTGGGGAAAAAAAATCCTTAACAAAATTTGCAACTATAACACTTCAAATAGGATTTACATGAAATTAAATTAAGTCTTTAATTTAAGAATTTGGAGTGTTTAATGAAAGTTTCCTAAATGTTTATTAGCTACTTCAAATGGACAAGATATAGTATTGTGTTATATAAACAAACTCCAAAACAATTATATATATTTGCAATACTAATTAACAAGTGTCTAAAAGAATTATCCGGCCCATGGCTTGGAGAGACTGCATGACAGGAATACTCAAAAATATGTATACACTTTTTTTTAATAAGCACATCTTATTCAATTTTTTTTTTTATTTTCCACTTCTAATGTTGAATTTAACATTTTCTCTTTCTATTTCACACACTTTCTTCTCCTTTTCTTTTAATTTTTACATGCACTTTCTTATCTTATTTTATCTTCACTTTCATCTATTTCAGTAAATAATTTTAATTATTTTGATTCATATTTCAGTAGATAGAACTGGTGCGAGATGACATTGTAGACGCATGTGACTTCCTCGACAGTATTGAAGGTGTTGAGTCCCTCTTTCAACCTTCACAATAGTAGTGTTTCAAAAAAACACTTTATCAAAACATTCATTTTTGTATTTTAGAAAATATTTTCTAGAATAGTGAAATTAGTATTTCAGAAAATATTTTTTGAAATTGTACTTTTTACATATTTCCAAAATGTATTTTCGAAAAATACTTTTTAAAATAGTAAACTTAGTGTTTTAAAAAATACTTTTTGAAAGTATGTTGTTTAACTTGATTTCGGAAAGTTCTTTTAGAAATAGAAAATTTAGCAATTCAAAATTTATTTTTTGGAATACTAAAAAAGTTAATGTTCTAGAGAGTATTTTTTAAAATACTAAATTTAATGTTAAATTTTATAAAACTGTGAAAGGGTAGTAAGTATTCGTAAAAAAAAGGGCATCTGACTTAATACCTTTGACATTGTCAATAAAATTGTACATGTTTACAATATCATCGCACACCAGAATACATCTAAAAATTGAAAGACGAGAGATAGAAAAAGATCAATATGAAAACAAAAAATTAAAACCATCTCACACCATTTCTACCGTTTGAATTCTTTCAGATTTTGCTTTTTACTAAACACACTTTTTTTTTTCTTTTTTATCCTTTTGAAACTTTTTTTTTTATTTATAAAAAAAATACCCTGATCCCATCGTCCCCCTGTCCCTCCAACTCACCCTCACAATCGTGTCTCCTGACGAATTGAATTAAAAGAATGCCAACCTATTATTAAGTTTATTCAGTAAAGCCAGGAAATTTAGAATTTTATTCAACACTAATTTCTCAACCTTTTGAGTTAGCCCATTATATTAATGAGAAAGTCTATGTAAAACAAACTATAGCTTATAATCACTGTTATTCAAAAGCATCAAACAAAGGTGGCAATCAGTAGACCAAGTTTTATAAGAGTTAAGTCTTACATGCTTATATGATGATATAATCTATTTTTAATGTCTAATATGATCTTCATGTAACTCATTTAAAAACCTATTTAATAAAAAGACACTAAATTACATGCAAGTTTATCCTTCAATAAACTTATAAATTTTACGTTTTATATATGCCAACATAATACATTGTAACAAATTTAATATAGTAATATTAATAAAAATATTTTTTATATTTATTTAAATAGGTCAATATGTTAGGTTAAAAAAACTTTTTAAATGACTAAAAACCTTATTTATTTTTCTATTACCAAAAAGGCTTTTATAAAAGCCTAACTCTTTTGTTTCCTAAAAAAAAACTAGCCTTATCATGTAGCCTGATGAAGGTTAAGTCGAAAGCTCTTATCATGTAGCCTAACTTATTTCCATGTCCATCGTTTAATTTTGGAAATATAATTCTGAAACATTACTATTGAATTCTGGAATATAAAATTAGATGCTGCTTGTGTATATTTTTCTTTATTATATGCATTGTACCGAATTTTAGTTTCCGGCACTATTTTCACATCATAAAAAAACTAATTTTGATCGCATTTGCGCCAATATTATCCAGAAACAAAAATTTAGGAAACCTAAAGACAAGAACCATACATAATATAATACACATTGATAAATAAATAAAAATGCAGAAAGATATATGATTGTGAAATAAACATAGTAAAAGTACGAGCTCAACACATACTGATAAATGAAAGATAACAATCACCGAGATGGGAAAAAAATTCAAAACAGAAAACCATAATTATAAGAGACAAGGCGAAAAAAATAAAAAGAAGTAAGAATTTAAAAGAGATGGTATTATCCCAAAACTTCAAGGCTGCAAATTGGAGAAACATATGGAGTTGGTTTTTGAGTAAGTTATGGAATTGGTTAATTAAACAATAATGAGATTTATAAGTGGATTTGTGTAGGTTTTTTAACTGGATTTATAGCTGTAGTGAATCTTGATTCATGCATGGTTTGTCTCTGTAATAGGTCGTTCCTCTAGACGGGTCAAGATCCTTTTCATCTATGTCATCTATGCTCTCCTTTTCATCGTCAACTGTATTTAATACTTAACTGTATGAATAAATTTCATTATAAACTTAACAAAAATTAAATAAAGTAAAATAATCAAACTTTATACAAGTTAAAGTCCTTTTATTTGGTTATTTGTAATTGAATCGCCTTTACACTATCTGCACATGTATTATTTATTGAAAAATAAAGGCCAGATAAAAAATCTACACTGTTAACAGTTGGAAACAGAAGTCACAACAGAATTATAAACATTCATTTGTAAGAAGGAAAGACGTGTTCATGCTTTGGCATGAAATGTCAACTACAACTACACATCAAGTTGTGTATTCACACAAGGCAAAAAAGAAAAAAGAAAAGAGATTCTTTCACCTTTATGTGCAAGCCTAACAATTACTATCACTTGAATGTCATAAAGTGGACTAACCAGAGAATCTCAAAACAAACCTTTCATTTTTAATTACAAAGGACCTGGTGTACAATAAAAGCCAGGACACTTGAAAGATTCATGTGAATTTGGGTTTAGGCACAGGGCCGCTATTTTGATTCAGAGGACCAAGCTTGTGAATCCAATGAAGAAAGCCTTTCTTATGATCCCAACTAGGGTTTGGCACCAGAGTCAAGGTTCCATCACGGGCAAGTGAAGATTCAAATTGCTCCAATACCTTAACAACCTGCCAGAACTCAGGCCTCTTGTCTGGTTGCAAGCACCAACATTGCTCAATTAGAGCTCTCATAGCAGGTGGACAGTCTGATGGAATAACTGGCTTTGAATTCTGAAGAAATACAATACCACATAACAGAAATTTAAGTACTACTACTATATGAGTTTCAAAAACGAGAGAAGAGATAATATACAAAAGATGGCTGGCCAACTACACTTTTCTCAAGATTCAAGTAAATCAAATACCAAAAAGAAATTAAACTGTTTGCTCCAAAACCTCACCATTAATCCTCCCATATATTTGCTGATCCTATATAATATATTACCTCTATTCTTAGCAATCTATTAGCTATTCCTAATATGTTATATCACTCAAGGAGATATTTTGTATACATAAGCATTTAAAATATATATTAATACTACAAGTCTACAAGTGTTGGTTTAATTGAAAAATGATAAGAAACCATTGCTTAAATTTAAAATTCTATTTTATTTCCTTTTGAAACAGTTGGACAAACAAATCATGGATGATAATTAGAATTTGTATTACTTCACTATTCGTATCCCTTAAGCAAAGGAGGCACTAAACAAACGCTTTTGGCTATATCTAAAAAACAGAAATCCTAACAACATGCTCTCTAAAACATTCTTCTAAATTATTAAATGAAATTTATTAAAGACACAATTTCTTTTTTAAACTTCACTCTTTATAAAAAGAGAAATGCTAGCAATACAGTCTAATACATTCTTCTAAATCGTTAGGTGAAATTTATCAGAAATCACAAATTTGTCTGGGCCTCACTACTTATTTAATGAGTCTCCACTTGAGATTATGTAGTTTCCAAGAAATTTTAAGCAATATTTGGGTGTGTTGGAAAGAAAATGTTAGAAAGTGCATTGCTAACACTCCTCATGTAAAAAATGCTTGGTTTCGCTACTTAAGGGATGGGAATAAACTTGTCTGAAATTATTCAGAAGCTTTAGAGTTTGATTTCCTAAGAAAGTAAGATGCCAGAAGAATCACTAATGGACCATGCCTTGTCTAGCTGCAAGCCAAGTGAATCATTAATGTAAGAAGTTCAGCTTGCTAAAACTCTAAAAGACAAGAAACCACAATTGAAGGGGGGCTTTGGAGGGGGAGAAGAGGCTCTGAACCTTCAATAAGCAATTGAGAAAATGCAAAGGCAGTGTGCCCAAAGAACAATTCATTAAAGGCCAGGATAATACAGGACCTTTAAAAAGAATGCCGGAAATTATTAATGAAGAGTGAGTGTGTGATATTCACATTACAAACCCAGATGACTTTAATTGCAAAGGGGTGTACCTTATTTACCACTGCAAAAGCAGCCTGTATTGGATTCATATCCTCATATGGTGTTGTTCCAGTCAACATTTCCCATAACATAAGCCCAAAACTGTAGACATCAACCTTTCTACCATAGGATTTACGCTTGATCATCTCAGGTGCCATCCAACGGTAGGTGCCAGGGTCATCAGCCAATAAGTCACAGGATGCTTCCTCACACGCAATACCAAAATCAGCAATTTTAAGGTGATGGTCTTCATCTAGAAGAACATTCTCTGGTTTCAGGTCACGATGAATGACACCTTGAGAATGTATATATTCCATTCCGCGAGCAATATCCAGTGCAAAAGCTACAAGCTTTTGTAGAGAAATAGTTTGGTGCTCCAACTTATGCAAATATGCCCTCAAGGAACCTTCTGCCAGATATTCCGTGATTATACAATAAACTGGTGGTTTTCGGCATGCTGCTGAGAACTGTAATCAGATCAAAACAAACAAGGAAAAGTATACAAATTAGCAACCTCTTAGATTATTAATCTGTTTAGATCCAAGTTTAGAAGATCTTCTAAAAGCTTCTCTATTGAAAATAAGATTTTTTTTTCAAGGAGAGAAGTTCTCGAAAGTGTTAAGCTTTATCCAAACAGACTCTATCGCAACATCATATAATATACACAATTGGACCAAAATAAATGAGCAAAGATGAACAAAGTAGCATATTTACTTTTAAAACTTAATAATTCAACTTGATTAAAGGTTCAATTTCACTCCAATAATTAGAACAAAACATTGGATACGCTAACCTTATCCAGAAGGCATAAAAGTCATCATCCGGACTAAGTATATATACCTTGCAAACAGCATATACAAAGGAAGAGAGAAAATGCTATCACCTTTATAACATTTTGATGGTGAAGACGAGATAAAAGGGTGACTTCTCTAATGAACTGTTTCTCTAACCGAGAAGCCAAAGTTCCACTTTCATCATCTTCAGGTGCCCTAATGATTTTAACAGCTACTGCCTCTTCTTTATATACACCATGGTAAAGCCTACTATGAGCCCCATGAGCAAACTTTAGGCCAAGAAACAGCTGAGACATGTCAACATTCCACTCTTCAGCTGTTTCCACAGCAGTAATCTTTCCTCCACCATTATCCAAAAACTTAGTCCATGATGAATCCTTGCGGTTCTTTAATTTCACTTGCATATTTGGACTACGAGGAGGTGATCCCTTAACCTCCCGAGAATCCTTGTTCAACAACTTGCCCATGATCCTCTTTTCCCTCCGGGGATTCGGTGTGGAGAACCTCTTCTGTTCATGTCTAGCTTCCCTAAAGGCGTCAGAAAGAAGAGTCTGAGGCAATGGTGACAAAGATCTCTGCTTGTTGGTTATGGGGTTTATCTGAACCTGTGCGGCAGGACTTGCTTTTTGCTTTGACTGAATGCTGCTAAGAGGAATAGAACCTAATCTAGAGGGATCCAAACGATGGCACACCGTGTGTGAAAACTTTGTCCTCCTAATCCAAGAATTGGTATCTTCTCCCATCTTATTCTACACTATCCCTTCCTACAAAAACCTTATTATAAAGATCTTGCAGTGTTACAAAATTGAAACTCCTCCACCTCTGCCGCAAAGAGGTCTCAAAACTAGATTTTTCTTGAGACCCTTTACCAACAATGAGTGGAGGAATCACATAAAATCTGATCTTTCTATTTGGAAACAAAAAAAAAGGGGGAGGATCGGTTCAATTAAAAGCTGCAGATAGAGGCAACCACATAAGCACTAATCAACCAAAAACTTGACCCTCCGTAAACTGAACATCCAAAAACACCCTTCCAGTCAAATCCCACCTTCGCAAAAGCCTGGGAAATCCCACACAGAAACCTCAATAAATTAATTAATACATCTAACAAAAAAGATGAAAAACAAGAATACAGAAAAGAAACGACTTTTTTGTGCTGATAATGAAGAAACACCCTTGATTACGTTCCGAATGGCCACAAAGGGAAAAAGAAATACCAATTATTGTATTAAAAGAATCAGAAAAATATTGAAATATTAACAGAAAAGGGTAATCCATATTTTTTTTTTAAAGAAAAAAGGTGAAGTAAGTTGTAGAAAAAGAAAGCAAAGAAAAAGATGCATGCAATAAAACATGCATTACCTCCTGAAGGATTTGAAGGCTTTCACCAAGGTGGAGAAATCAAATCGTCTTGCTAGAGAGGGAATTTCTGTTTGTGAATACCCGCTTATACGTTCCAAGGATATATAAACGCTGCGGTGCTCACCGCAGAGGATTTCTTTCTTTTTTCCCTTCAATTTTTAATTTTAGTAGTGTAATATTTAGCACTCTCTCTTTTTCGTATTAAACTAATTCATTTTCAAGCACACATTAAAAGTAAGGTTCATATTTAGATATCGTAGATTAAAAAAAAGTATACCAAACAATTTTTTTAAATTTTTTTTTACTAAATCGAAGAGAATTTATTAAATAATAAACTATTTTAAAATCATAAGTACTATAATTCAAAATCATGAACTTGAATTATTTTTTGTTGGTGTAAAATAATGGAATTATTGTTGAATGGGAAGGAGTATAAAAAGAAATAATGCGTAAAAGATAGCGGGAGGAAGTGGAGCATAAATATGATTTTTGGGAGGTAGGCTAAGATGTAGTGTGTCGGTTTGAAGGGTAATGATGGTTAAGAGTTAAGAGGGTATGTATGTAGTTTGGTTGTGGGTTGGGGGATAACACTAGAAGATATGCATGTCGTGTAATGTGTAATGGTGTTGTTTTGTGTGTATGGTATTTGAAGTGATAATAATAATAATCCATGTGCATAGGGACTAGGGACATAGACAAAGCAGTGATGATGATGGGGTTAGGTTGTAGTGGGGGTGGTGGAATGTGGGGACCACAGGGAGAAAGTCAGAGAAATGAGAGGGTGAAGGGTGGAGGAATACAAGTGTCGCTATCCACAGAATTAGTACGGATGGAGTCGTTACGTGTAACGCTTTCTCATTTATTTATAGCAATGTTGCACTTATTCTCTAACTTCAACAAATGAAATGGACCAAAGGTTAAGGTACGGATCGCACGGATGACCCACACTGCACATGCATCATGCATCATGCATCATGGCATCATGCATCCCTTCACCACCAAACCCAAAAATCATACTAATTAATTCCGTTTAGTCTACATTTCACAAATTCATATCGTATTAATTCGCTCAAGAATAACCCCATGGGAATGGAATGACTAGATTTTCATTATTTTTATGCTTTTATAATGTTTATTCTAAAAATATAAACAACTTTGTAAAATTTTATCGTAAAATGGTAATGACAGATAACTACTATTAAATTTAAAAGATGAAATAATAAAAATATTTGATCTAGAGATTGATGATTCACTTTAGATTGGTTTAATTTAAGGGAATACGAGTTCAAAGATCGAAGCAGTTGAAAAAAGTTTCATTAATTTTTATTGATTTGGTTCGTCGGGAAAGTCCAGCCTCGGTCCACTTGGTTTGGTTGGTGCAAAAGAATTCTTTGAGCCCACGCAATTTGGGAGAGTTACCAAGCCCACACAATTTGGGAGAGTTACATTGTTTGAGCCCAAATGCTGCAAGTAAGACAGAAGCAGATGGGGCGTTTGGGCTGATTTTCTTAAAATAATTGTATAGTTTGAAATTGGTTCATGATATATACACCTCTTTTTTTCTATAAGTACACTTCCTTTTTTTAAAAAAAAATTAAAATTTTAAAATATTTTTAATTTTTATTTTTTTAATTTTACATCCACAACATTTAATTTAGTATTTTTTTCACATATCTTCCATCTTTTTTTCAATTTTTACATGCACTCCCTTACCTTTCTTTTACCCTACCTATTTTGGTAGCATGTGAAAATTAAAAGAGAAAAAAAAAGTGTGTGAAAAAGAAGAAGAAAGTAGCAAATTAAAAATTAAAGGTGTAAAAATAGAAGATTTAAAAAAAAATTACAATATTTTATAATTTTTTAAAAATAATATAAAGGAGGTGTACTTAAAAAAAAGGAGGTGTATATATCATGAGCCTTTGGAATTTGGAGCAGTCCACAAGCCATCAGTTACCACTGGGCTTGTAATGGCCAATCACAGGTCATTAGAGTGAAATTATCATATCTGAATCTGATCACAAAACAAATTGCATGGGATTCACTCATGTGATTATAATCTGTCATCTCAAATGGTCCTTGAAATTTTCACTCGTGCCCACCAAAAACAAAGGAATTAATCTTCATGAATGAGACCGGAAGATTAAAGTTTGCTTTTTGTACTAGCAAAAGAATATAATCTGGTTATGAGTAATTTGAATTGCAAAACGGTACTTTATATTCTTATATTCATTATTGGGTCTTTGGATCCGGATAAAAATACCCCAGATCCTAAAACCAAACTAGCAATAGAACTAACTAATTTATTATCGAGTACCATTTTACAATTTTAACTATCTCTGTTTAAGTAAAGTCTTTCAAATCTAATAAACTGGCCTATTTATTACATATATAATATTATTCCAGCAATAGGAAGGGTTTACGGCCAAAACATCCAAGTTTATTAGTAAAAATCTTATCTTTAATTCTTAGAGTTGAGTTTTTGCCGTTTAACCTGTATACGTTATTTTTGGAGGTAATTTACAATAATATGTTCAACTCTCTCCACAAATAGAATGTGAATAGTTATCCTATCACTTGTTAAAATAAAGTAAACATCTTATTTTTAGGTAACAATTGTATCAACTACCTATTATAAGGTTAATAGTATCAAGACACTTGGTCGAAAATGGTTGATCTAGAGAGGTTTATCTAAAGATGATCGATCTATAGGTGATCAACCTTAGGATATGAGCTTGAAAATTGGCCGTTTTGTCGTAGTCTTAGAAATGGTCAGTTTGAAGGTGGTTAACATAAAAGTGGTTAGTCTAAAGGTGACTAACTTAAAAGAGATCAGCTTGAAAGGTGCAAATGTTATATATATATATATTCTCACCTTAATTTTAGTTGGAGTACATTAATAATCTACATCAAAATTTTTGGACCAAAAAATCAATCAATTATTTTTTTAATAAACTTACTTGAAGGATATTATAGTAATTTATTATTTATTATTTATTCTCTCATTTTCTAAAGTGTCTATTCTTCTTTTGTTGATGAAGAGAAGAAAGAATGAGTTGGCAAATGAGAGAAATGAGTGGACATGAGAGAGAAGTTAAATTTATTTAAAAAAAGAAAGAGATAAATAATAAATTATTATAATACCCCTCAATTAAGTTTATTAAAATAAAAGAGTTGATTGATTTTTTGTCCAAAAATTTTGGTATAGATTGCTAATATACTCCAACTAAATTAAGGTGAGAGTATGTTAATTAATTGTAGATTGCTAATATAATTAGTTGTAGGTATATTTTTCTTTTCTTACGGTTCTTTTTACAAAGGATGAGAATAGTAAAGTTTTTCTTTAATATTGTGTTTAGTTGTGAAGAGAGAAATAGGATAGAGAGAAATAGTAAAAAGAGATATAAGTGAAAGAAAAAAAAGAAGGTAAAAGTAAGATTGTTTGATTTGAAGAAAGTAGGTAAGAAATAGAAGATAAATAATATTATAAAATTATTTGGTTTTGATGAATGGAGAGGAGAAAAATTATAATTAACAAAACATTAAAGTTTTACCCTTTTATGTTACATAACAAAATTTGACTTTTTTTTTAATTTCTATTCATTATTCATTCTAATAAAATTCCACCATATTTAAATAAAATAAATTAGGACTTACAACATATGTGAATAAAAATCATACATTAGACCATATATATTCGAATAAAATGAAGTAATACTCAAATGAAGTATCATTTATTCGAACAAACACTCCATGTATTCAAATAAACACTCCTAGTTTTGGAATACATCATTCAACTATTCAAATAAACTCCCCGATATTCGATTACACAAAAATCTCATTTTCAAGCATCTATATTCGAATAAATTGATAATTATGCCCTAAACACTAAAAAATATATTTTCTTTTAAAGCTTTTTCTTATGTTTATTCTTATTTGTAGTGAAGAAAAAGATTAAGGAGATTTTTGTTAATGAAGTTTTGACCTTAGACCACAAGAGCAATAGATGTGTCCTTTCTCTCTTTTGTTTTCTTTGCTATTTCAACAAAAAATTGTGGAAATATTTACAAATGTGAGACTCACATCTGCAAATTTGTCCTTTGACAAATCTCCCATTAAACAAACGATGAAACTTGTGTGAACGGTAGTATTTCTTCTTTCTCTACATTATTTATTGGGCATTTTACCACAAACAGACACAACGTAAGTTTATATGTCTTCAATAAACTTGCACATAGAAAATATCTTGCTATCTCATAAAATATAGTCTTTCTAATTAATAATTTTTTAAAAATTATCTTTTTTCAATAAAAGGTTTGACGTACTAAATATCACTATAGAACTAAGACATCCCAATAAGGTTGTCACCCCAAAGTCTACCAATCATCCGCAACACACTAAATATAAATATATATATATATATATATATATATATATCAGTCCTCATCAATGAAAATCAAATTCAGACCAAACATGTAAACATCCCATTGCATTACATTTTATCCACCCGTATATATTTGGATTCAACTTCAATCATTTACAATTACATTGAAATATCATTTTATATAAGTTTAAGTAAATATTTACATACTTAATCTCATTAAGAAATGAATTTTGAGTACAGACTTGTCTTTCAATTAAAATAGTTTTAAATAATTTGTGTTGGATAATAAGATTTGTGTTGAATTTTATGATTAAGTTGACTTTAAAATTCAAAAAAAAATCTAAACGTAATTCACTTTATTTTAAAATTGATTTTATAAGCATTAATTTTAATCAAAACAAATTTAATTCAAAATCAATTTTATAAACATTCATCCAACACACTCAATATATATATATATATATATATATATATATATATATATATATATATATATATATATATACACAAGAGGAAAATAATAACAATAATATGGGGGACTATACCAAAATTCGTGTAGGAATCAACAAAAACGAAAAGAAGTTAAACCACAACAATCATGAAAAAAAGTCTCTCAAACAAAATAAATATGACTTACTCATTGAAAAACCTTATGTTCAAGAACTATTAATATAACTTTCTCTTCTTTTTTTTGTTTCATGTTCATGTTTGCACTCGTTGAAAAATAGTCTTTTGTTGTTGTATGTTCTTATTTCCATGGATACAATACTAC